CTCAGAGCAGTAGGCAGTGCCCCTGTTTCACAGATAGTGTGGCTGTGGTCGCTCTGCTGGGACTCTGCACCTGCAGACCCTCCCACCTGGGTCTTCAGCCTGCTGGCTCCGAGGGAGGGCTCATGAAGATGCTGGCTGTGGCGGACTCCAAGATGGGAGAGCCTGCGTGTGAGCTGTGAAGGGGCTCATTGCAGACGCCTATACTGGAAAGAGGAGTGGTGCTCAGGCCTTGACTTTTCTATCTCAGGCCATCATTAACACACTTTCACCTTCCATCTGTCTTTAGACCGCACTCTGCCTGGCTAGAGAAGTGGCCCACGGTGACCAGGTTCCCGCCACTCCCTGGCCGGTTGCTTGCTGGCCTGACTCCTGCAGGAAGAGCGCTGCTAACAGCACAGTCATGGAGGGCCTGTAGCCATTGTCTGGCCCCAAAGCTCTTCATAGCAACAGCCCACACATGGCAACAGCAGCCACACAAAGGAAACGTTAGGGAAATCAATACCTGCTTTCTCTCACCCTGCCCCTACTGCAAGCAGCAGCCCACTTGGTCTGCCCACCTACTACTTACCCTGGGGTATTTCAGGGCAGAATGTGGTCATGCACACTGAGGATTACCTTATCTGTCCGCTGTGGTATATTGAAATCCTGAGGCCCTGAGGAGAAATTTCAGTCCCAAGCTTTTTTGAGTTTCATTTTGCAAAATACAAGATAGACTCATCCCCCAAGGAGAGAGATGCCTGCTCTAGTGCGCTTACCCAACCCTTTCTTCCCTACAGGGCTTCCCCAGCAAAGCCAGGGCAGGTGACCAGCTTGTGGGCTCGACCGATAAGCCCATTTCAAACGGGACTTTTGCTAGTTCACTAGCGAAAACCTTGTAGTCTCCAACTAATGCTGCCCCTTAACAAGTCCTGAGTTCCTGAGGCGAGAAATGCCAAAGCCTTGAACACAGCTCGCTATGGCCAGGTCCACTTGGCCGTGGGGGCTCCAGTAGGAGGACCATTGCAGAGCACATTGGAGAGCCCTTGCCCTGGGAAAGCTGTGTCCTTGACCTCCTCATTGTAAAGTGTACAAGCTTGGTGGTCCTCCTGGTGCCAGTGTTTACGCATCTTTAACACCTTGTAAGGAACGCACAGGGGATTGTCTTTGCTAATCACTGGTCATGAAGCGATCTGGAAAATGTGGGACCCTCTGGTCTCAGTGCTTACCCTTCTAAAATAGGTCCTGGCCCTGCCCTGGTTGATAAAGCAGCCAGAACAATGATGGGCAGAAGCTACTAATGAACTTGGCAAGCCGTTTCTCCCACTGCAGTTGGTTCAGACCAGTTTGGGCAGAGCCTCATTCCCAGGCTGCTCCTACTGAGGCTGTAGCAGCTCACTGTCTCCCTGCCTGCACCCCCATGAGGGGCTGCTCTCTACCTCTTCTGATACCTCATTATCCCATCTCCCTCAGGCTCTGCAGAACAAAGAAATCACAGGGCACCGACTGTATAATTTAGGCAGCTGGAGATAATTTCCCCAGGATAGGGTGGGTAGGTAGCTGGTGCCTCCTGGCATGAGACAGCCTTGCTAAATGGCCTTGCATTTTGTCTGCCAGGCTTTGGCTTTGTTACGCCCATTCAGGCTTCTCTGTTTTTGAGTTAAATTATAATAGCCAACCAGGCCGTGTATTTTCCCGAGGGGTTGGGGTTCAGAAAAGCATGTGAAGTATGTCACTTATAGGTCTTGTTATTTGCTAATTGCTTGAGGAATTTTTGTTTAATCCAGTACCCCTGTACTTGCTCCCACCAGGTCCTTTATTTCTGTAGTTGCTACCTTCAGGGCCTTTTCCATAGCAACAAACTATGTGATGAAAAGGCTATGGTGAGAAATTAAGTAGATCCTCTCCCCCACGCTGTACTGTATATTCTCTAAAAATACCTAAAAGACTATTAAATAACCTTCTACTTCCGTGAACTCATCATAATCAAATGAAACTCTTAACCCTAAATTGATTCAGGGAACAGGCGGCATTCTCATTTGATTATTTCTACCTTTCAAAAAATTTCCCGACTTAATATACTTGAAGTATTATATATGTTTCCATTTACCAAGCATTCTTCTGCTTTTCAGCTTTTAGCTTTATTTATTTAATTCAGTTTTTAACTTTTTCTTTAGAATTATGCTAAAGATCTGGAGTCCAGTACCAGTAAGGAGAAGGAGCAGCAACCAAGTGGAGCCTTCCACTCCCTACCCCACCTGGCCCTTGATGTTGTGTTACATACACCCTGGCCCCTGCCCGAGGTCAGAGCTGGTCAGCTTCAGCTTCGCTGCCTGCTTTGTCATCCCTGTCACTCATCAGCAGGAGTGATGTGTGATACTCATTTTGGTTTTTGTTGTTTTGTTTTGTTGTTTTTGAGACCAAAGATTGTTGTTCATTTCCTTCTCGTTTTTTTCTTTTTCTTCTTTTTTGTACCAGGAATCAAACTTACAACCTTACACTTGTCAGGCAGGTGCTGTGCTACTGAGCTATCCATTGTTTTTTCTTTCTTTTCTCATTTTTTAAAAACTTTTCCCTTCCTTTCCCCTTCCCCTATTCCCCTTCCCATTTGAACATTTTCTTCCTATTTCACAATATCTTGGTCTACATTAATAGGTCTTAATAATAATATAAGTACATGCATGGATCATAAGTGTGCAGGTCATGGCTTTTGTTGTTGCATTGTTTTGTTTTGTTTTTCCTCAGTGACTCCTTAATTACCTTCTAGGTTAAATGCAAAGTGCACTCTTCCTATACTCTGCTCCAGCGTAACCAGTTTGCTCTTCTCATCTTTATACTGGCGGAGAGGCTAAGCAAGCACTCTTATCACTGATGTACATCCCTAGCCCTTTACTTTATGTTGAGACTAGATTTGCTGTGTTTCCCAGGCTGGCCTGGAACTTGCAGTTCTCCTGTCTCAGCCTCCCCAGTAACTGTGATTACAGGTAAGCACCACTTGGCCTGCACTGGGCCATGGAATTTTCGGAGCAAACACATCACATGTTAACCATCTCCTAGACAAAGAAGCACAGTATCGTCAGAATCCTAGAAGCACTTTCATGCTTCCCTTGCAGTAGCCTGATACTCAGAATTATTTCTGACCTCTGACATCGTAAGTGTGTGATACTCATTTTGGTTTTTGTTGTTTTGTTGTTTTTGAGACCGGGTCTTGATATGTAATTCAATTGGGCCTTGAACTTAGTTGAGATCTCAGACTAGCATCACACTCCCTGAAAATCCTCCTGTCTCAGCTCCCAAGTACTGGCATTACAGGCTCATGGCACCATGCCCTGCATGGTGTCATGCATTTTGAACATTTTGAGTAGCTATATAGAATCATTACAATCTACAGCCATACCACCCTGAACGCACCTGCTCTAGTCTGATCTCAGGAGCTAAGCAGGGTCAGGCCTGGTTAGTACTTGGAGGGGAGAATCATTATAGTACTGTTGGTTTGGTTTGGTTGTTTTTGAGGGTTGTTTTTTTTGTTTTTGTTTTGTTTTTGTACTGGGGATCAAACTCATGACCATGTGCTTACAAGGCAGGTGCTTATGTCACTGAGCTAAATCCAAGGTTTTGTTTTTGTTTGTTTTTGATACTAGGGTTTGAGCCCAGGGCCTCATACAGAGCTACATCCCTAATCCTTCTTTATTTTTCACTTTTGGAGACAGGGTCTCGTTAAATTGCTTCACATGCCCAGCTTGTACTTGAACTTGTGATCCTCCTGCCTCAGCCTCTGAGTGCTAAGGCTATAGGAGTGCACCGCCATACCCAATTTACAGTATATACTTTATGTTGAGCTGTTCAGCATTATACCAGCTAAATTCATCTGTGTCACTACATGTGGTTAGGTTTGTTTATTCTTCATAATGTGAATAATCCGTTACTTGCACAGTTGTTGATGGCCACAGGTGAGTGTCATTTAAAAATGCAGCCAGGAGTGGTGGTTCCTGCCTGCAATCCAAGTTACGTTGCTGAGGCAGAAGGGTCATGAGGTTGAGACCAGCCTGAGCAGCATAGTGAGACCCTGACTTGAAAAATAATTGTAGCTTGGGGCGGTTATACACTACAGTGGGAATTCTTGTGCATGTCTTTTGGGGAATGTGTACATTCCAGAGCACATACACTTAAGCATGGAGTTCCTATGTCACAAGTATCCTGATCACCTTTAGCAGACACTGCCAGTTTTCCAGATGGCAAACCTGAAAGTCCTGCTTCCAGTGTACTGTATCAGAATCCTGCTTATTCTGTATCCTTTCCAATGCTTGATATTATCATCTTTTTTTTAACCATTGTAGTTAGGGTATATTGGTGTATTGTTGTGGTATTGGTTCATATTTTCCTGATGAGTAATGAGATCAGGCATCTCTTCACTTGTTTATTGACAATTTGGAAATTCAAGTCTCTCTCCCTCTACCTCTCTGGTTAGGATCTCATCATGTAGTTCTGCCAGCCTTGAGCTCTGTAGCTCAGGCTGGCTTCAAACTTGCTGCAGTCCTCCCACCTCAGCCTCCCAAGTGCTGATTACAGATGTGGCCACCACCCCTGGCCACATTTATATCTAGACTTGCAGTCTGTCAGGAATTGACTTTTGTTTAGGGTGTGAGTTGGGAGTTAGGGCTCCTTTCCATGTGAGTATCTGATCGGCTCAGCTCCTTGCCCCCGCTGTATAGCAGAATCATATTTATTGTAAATCAGGAGACATGTAAGGGTTCCTTTCAGATTGCTCTTCTGTGCCAGTCATTCATTTGTTTATTCCTCTGTCAGTGTCTCAACTATAGCTTTGTAAATTTTGATGTCTAGTAATATTACCAGCTAGCTCCTTCTAGAAATGTACTTGCCAAATATTACGAGGTTTTGTGGCACTCACATCTCCTTCTGAAGTTGGTTTCCAGGTTCTTATCTGGAACAAAGTATTGAACACAACAAGCAGAAAAAATGATAGCAAAGTTTATTTAAAAAGTAAAAGTGAAGAGTGAGGGAGAAACTGACTCTGCAGAGCAAGCTTGGGCTCAGTAAAAGAGGAAAAGCAAAATGAAAGTTTACCCTGGAGGATGCAGGGTGGATGATGGTGAGGACATCCCCACAGCAAACTCTCTTGTGTGTGTCCTTTATGCTATCCACATCTTGAAGAACTTCTTTTCGGAACTTCTACATCTGGGTCCTGAGAGGTGGTGCTGGGACCCCACATCTCACACTGATGTCAGATCCCAATGCTCCTATGGGAAACCTGCTCGCATTCTCTTGAGAAGTCTGCATGTTGGGCTTTGGGAACTGTTCTGCTCACCTGTCCAGGATCTTGTAATTAACAGGTCCCACCTGCTTTCCCAGCCAGTTTTGCCACCGCCTCATCTGCTATCTCAGTAGTGTTAAGTCTTCAAGCTTTGTTGTACTTCTTCAAGATCACTTCAGCTGTTCTTGGCCTGTGGGAACCTGAGGCAAGAAGATCACCTGAGTTTGAGGACAGCCTGGTTTATGTAGCAAGTTCAGGGCCAGAGAAGAAACCCTGCCTTAAAAAATAGTAATAATTTTGAGATCGATTTGTGAATTTTTTAAGATAAAAGCCTGCTGAGATTTTGAGTGGGGTAACACTGAATCTATAGGTTTGTTTGAAGAAGACCCAAGGGGTTATCCGTTTACCTAGGCAGGCAAGGGTTTCCAAGGGGAGTTGAGGAAAAGAGGATCTTGGGAGCTGCCTGGTCTTGGGAGTGGTGGGCAGGGTGCTGTCCTGCCCCATTGCTTGTTCTGAGTCAACAGTGTGAGGAGGGGAAGCCCTCCCACTCCTGTGTTAGAATTCTGCCAGCATCACCATTCTCTGCTTGCCTGAGAACCCCTGAACTTAAGTGCAATCTGTTAGGTAAAATTCCGTGAGCTTAGTTAAAAGTTGATTTAATCAACACTGGCTCTGCATTTGGAGCATATTAATTTTCTAGGACTTTAAAAAGCATCAGTTGCCACAACCCAGTGCAGCTCCTGAGGTTCTTGGGGTTAAGGACAGCGAGAGGATGAGAAAAATAAAGACAAGACAAAGCTGGGGTCAGGTGGAGACCTTATCCTCCTGATGGGAGGAAAGGAACTGCTCAACCACTGGAGCACCTTTATTTATATACTGGGAAAAATGATGTCAATTTCAGCCCCTCTGCCTAGCAACCCACTGCCTGGCAGACCTGGACCCCTTGCCTTCTTGGTGCTGAAACAACTTGTTTACATAGTTTTGGTCTCTGTTATTTTCTGGGCTGGCCTTGCTTTAGCCCACCACATGTGGTCAATCGCCAGCTTCAACGGCTCCCTATAGTCAGCTTAAAACAACAGAAATATATCATCTGTTAGTTTCTGGAGGCTGGAAATCTGAAATCAAAGGTCCTCTAGGGCCACCTCTCATTTAGGTCTCTCGAGGGGACACCTGCTGTATCTCTAGTGTTTGCTGGCAGTCTGTGGTGTCCCTGGCTTGGCACTATGCCATGTGGTCATTGTTGTCTTCCTCTGCAAATTCCTCCCTTTTTTTGTAGGAAGAGCAGTGATAATTGGATCCTTGTGACCTTATTTTAAGTTGATTACCCCTGCAAAAACTCAATTTGCAAATCAGGTAACATTCTGAGGTCCTAGAGGTTGTACATATATTGGGTACAATTTAACTCATAAAAGGAGCCAATGAAAATTTCAAAATAATTATTGCCAGTCTGAAGAAAGGTGGAGTGTCTAGAACTGTTGGTAATAATGTGAGCCGCTATTTCCCAAGCCAGCCAGGCTCAGGCCGCCCTGTTCAGGAGCTCTTCCATGCAGTACCACTTCCCCTGCCCTGGAGCGACGTGGAAAGGCATTTCAGTGTTGTTGCTCTATTAGCAAACCCTGAAAAGCTTAGTAGAGGTTAACACAAAGAAAAATAGGTTTCTGGGGGCTGGGGATTTAGCTCAGCGGCATAAGCACCTGTCTTACAAGCAGCTGGTCGTGAGTTCAATCCCCGGTACCGGTAAAAAGAAAAAAGTGTTAAAAAAAAAAAATAGGTTTCTGCCCCTGGCTATACCTCACAGGCTCTGGCTAAGGAAGCATAGAAGGAAAAGTGCCTGGCACAAGGCAGCCATGTTACTCAGAGGCCAGTCCTGCCTAGGCGCAAGGCCCTAGGTGATGGGATTGCATTTGAACCCCAGGTGACCTCACAGCGGTTCCTCCAAGGTGTGAAATCTCTGGTTCCTAGTGGCTTGCATTCAGATAAGGACTCCTCAGGCAGGACAGAATGACCCCTGCCAGGTTCCACCTCCAGCCTGATACAGTGTGTGCTTCCATAGGGTCAGTGCACATTCACATAGTTTCCAAAATCTCTCAGAATCTCTCAGATCCTTGGCATCCTCAGCAGCCCCCTCCATGGCCTGGGGCAGATGGGGACTGCTGGTGACTGCTGTCCTTCCTCCTTTCCTCCTAACCACTCCCACTCTGGCACTTGGCTTGATAATGGCTTGTTTGTTTGTTTGTTTGTTTCTGGAAATGGGGTAGCACTATGTAGTGCAGGTTGGTCTTGAATCCCTTACGGAGCCCAGGCTGGCCTCAAACAAATGGCAGACTTCTTTCCTCAGCCTCCTGAGTGCAGGAATGACAGGCGTGCACCATCGTACCCAGTTTAACAATGGTTTCTATTGGTAATCGGAAATAAAAAGGCTGAGGGGCAAAGGATCCCTGCCTAACAAGTGTGAAGCCCTAGGTTCAGTTCCCAGTCCCAGAAATGAAAGGCGGGGGTGGGGAGCTGGGCTTAGTGAAAAGGCCCTGGATTCAATGCCCAGTACTGGGGGAAAAAATTAAATCCTGTCACTCACCCAGCTCTCATCCAGTTAAACTGAGTCAGGGTTTTTGTGGGAGGCCAGGAATCTAAAATTCTCCAGGTGCTTCCACTGTGCATCAGAACACACAGCTCCTCAGTCTGACTTCAGGAGTTTCTGTAGGTGGTACACGCCTGTCATCCTAGCACTCAGGAGGCTGAGGCAGGAAGATTGCTTTGAGTTCAAGGCCAGCCTGGAATGCAAAATGAGATCCTGGAATACAGACAACAACAAAAATCTCTGTAAAAGAGGATCCCAAACTGCTTCATTGACTCACCTCAGGTTTATCTTTAGGATGTTAATAAAGCACTCCTGGACAAGAGCTAGTTCTCTTGGGAAGTGTCCTTGATGGAGGAGTAATAAGTGGTTGAGGACATAGCTCAGTGGCACAATGCCTTGCCCGGCAAGTACAAGTACAAATAAAAAGAAATGAATGAGAGTCCTAGCCATATTTCTGCCTCTAGGTTTCTGGTCTTGGAAGACCTACATGTAATTTGATTCTTCCCTCACATCAGATCCATGATGAAGATGAGTGGCTTGCCTGGACAAGTAGGGTAAGGTCCTATTGCTGTTGCTGTGAAGCCAATTTGGGGTTCTGCTTGCATGAGCTTTGGTAGAGCATAAGAAATTTTTTTTTTTTTTTTTTTTTTGGAGAAGGGGTCTCGCTATGCAGTTCAGGCTGGCCTTGAGCTCACTTTGTAGTCCAGGCTGTCCTCGAACTTGCAACAATCCTCGCACCTCAGCCTCCTGAGTGCTGGGATTACAGGTGTGAGCCACCACACCTGGTTTAGAGCATAAGAATTTAAAGGGCTGGGGATTTAGCTCAGTAGGCATAAGTGCCTGCCTTGCAAGCAGGCAGTCGTGAGTTCAATCCCTGGTACAGATTAAAAAAAAAAAAAAGAAAGAAAAAGAATTTACAGCTGGCGAAAGCATTCTAGTAATTTTCATTAGTGTAGACCAATTTGGAATTTGAGGTTTTCCTAAAGTGTGGCAGTTTTTATCAGAGATTTTGCAATCACTCTCTGGCAAACCTTTAAAATGAATTATTTTCATCTAATGACTGCCCAATATAAGGACCTCTTAGCTGGTTTGTGGAGTACTTCATTTCTGAAAGCTACTCATTCTTGTGAATCTGATTCTTTTCACCCTTTCCCTATATCTCTGTTGGAACTTTTGTCCTGGAGGAAACAGTGCTCAGAAATATGTGTGATCTGCACGCACACGTTGGGGTTCAGTGTTAGACAGTAGCATGCCAAAGAGCAGTGTGGGGAGAGAAGTAGTGCCTGTGTCCCTGGTGGGACCTGTGTATTTAAACCAGCCTCCCTCGCTGGCGTCCTTCTCGTAGCTGGAGTCCTCTCTGAGTCCTAGCCTTGCTCTGGACAGATGAAATACGACTGATAGACTTGCTTTTTTTTTTTTTTTTTTTTTTTTGGTACCAGGGATCAAACTCAGGACCTCACACATGCCATGCTGGCACTGTGCCACTATGCTGTCTCCTGGCTTTCTTTTTTTTTTTTAATTGGTACCGAGACTCAAACTCATGACCATGCACTTGCAAGGCAAGCGCTTTATGCTGCTGAGCTAAATCTCCAGCCCCTGTCTCCTGGCTTTCTTACACTCTCTTTCTCCACCCGTCTCTGGAAGGGACTGGAAAACCTAAGGCCTGGCAGCACTGACCACAGGAGGAGAAATCTGTCTTAGCTGCATGCTCCTCCTCAACATTCGAGCTCTGCCATCTGTAGGAAAGCACATCTGCCTTTTTGCTTGAGAAGAAAACTGGAGCTGGCTCTGCAGTGCATGCCTGTAATCCCAGCTCTGGGAAGCCAGGCAGGAGGATCGTAAATTCAAGCCCCACCTGGACTTAGCAAGACCTCTTCTCAAAATGAAAAGAGCTGAGGATATAGCGTAGTGTAGAGGCCTTGGGATCAATTCCGTGTCTCAAAAAGAAAAGGAAATGGAGGGGAAGTGGGGGGAACCACATGAACTGGAGCCACAGAGATACTGTTGGAAGATTCTTGAGGCTCAGTGTGGCTGGGATCTTTGGCTACACTAAGGGTGTGGAGAGAATAAGGAAGACCTGACTGAGTAGAGCTTCTAAAGCGGCTTACCAGCTAAACATTGCCCAGCTCAGGGCTACTCGCCTCCCCTTCCAGAGCTGGATTCCAGGTTCTCATCTCAAACAAAGAACAGAATGAAACGAGCCAAAAGCAGTGGCAAAATTTATCCAAGAAAGCAAAAGTAGCTGAACCCAGTGGCTCGTGCCTGTCATCTCAGCACCTGGGAGACTGAGGCAGGAGGGTTACCAAGAGTTTGAGGCCAGCCTGGGTCCAAGATCACTGTGAACCACATACAGCAAGAACCTGTCTCAAAACAAAACCAAAAAACAACCGCTGTCAAGGCTGTGGGGAAAGGGCACTGCCCTTGTACACCATTGAGGGGGTGTAAGCTCGTATAGCCACTAGGGAAGTTAGTGTGGAGTTCCACAGTAAACTAAAACTAACTAGACCTGAAGGGTGGGGGCCAGCAGTAGAAATTCCATTGAACGCAACCAATCCCTTTCTAGATAGCTTCCCAGAACAGCTGAAGACATCATTTTACACTGATACATGCATACCCATGTTT